TTTGTGTAGATATAAGTAGTTCATTGGATGGGCACCATAGACACAAAAAAAATCAAACAAAATAATAGTGCACCACTTAAATTATTAAGCATTGAATGTTGGCGGGAAGTTACATTCACTTGGAATGGAGTGGAATTATATTATTATATTCCGCCTCTTTCGGGCGATATAAATCAATTTCTTTCATTCTAAGGCTCTTCATCGCATTTAATGAAAATATAAGTCCCTAACTGACATAAAAGTTAAGTATGATTTGTGTATTAAACAAAAAACTGGCGTCACTAATAACATAATAACAAAATTATAGTGTAATCAGTGCTGCAAATTTAGAGTTTTAAAAGACCTCTAACGCAATACATATACATATACCTAATGTAAAATATTAGTTTGGTTTTGCAGAACCTTTTTTTTAAATACAAATTACTATGTAATTAATAATATCTACTGTATGCATTAAAAGAGAAGAAAATTAAATTTTATTTGAAGTATCTAATCTAAATAAATTTTATTTAAAAATGTTCTTCGAAAAAATTTGATGTCAGTATTGTTCTACGCTACTACATCAAATCCTTTGTCTAAAGTGGCAGTCAGCACTCGAAATTTTTTATTAAAATCGTTTCTTATAACAACAGTATATGTATAGGAGGTCGTTTTGAGCAGACATCAGGAAATATATGTTCTTAATTTAGTTATTAAAAATAAAGTTTATAAATAGTACTTAAAAATATACTCCCAATAAATATGTTTAGTGCAAGCACGAATTTACTAGCAGAAAATAAAATACATGGAAAACTATCACTCACAGGTGAAACATTAGTAATTAGTATGACACACACATTTTTTAACAAATTTGAAAATATTATATTTAAAATTAGGTATCTACACAACTTTTGTTATTTAAATTACAATTTCTTTCAAATACTTTTGCAATACTACATGTACGTAATGGTTAATAAAAATAGTAACAACAATTGGTAATTGTTCAGAATTTAATATAGTCACAGATTAATTTTAATCAAAAAAGAGGTCTAGCACATCAAATAATAATAATAATCAGTTCGCTTTATACATATTTAAAATGCAAGAATCTGATATTTATATCCTTAAAAAAAATTATAATAATATCCTCGCTACTAAGTATGCCCACGTAAGGAGCGTAGGAGATAAAAAACACAGCTGTCCAGTTTTAAAAAGTTTTATCTAGATTTTCATAATAATAAAATTTGAATGTTTAGCAGGTGCAAACTTTAACCGGCGATCATTTTGGAGGTAAAATATACCACAATCATAAAACGTAAAATACCTAATCTACATACAAACCTAAAGTAATTTAGTCCATTATTATTATAAATTTAAGACATAACTTATGGTGAAACTTGACCTTTTTGAACTTTACACCATTATAACAATAACATAATGACGTGTCGAAACCTAGTTTTTTAACGCGTAGGCAGCAACTGTATTTATATACATAAAATAGGTAAAATTAAAATATAGACGATCTTTTCCGTTAATAATAAGTTTTCACATTGCGTTAGAAACGACTTGTAAGGTTGTATCTTCATTGTTTGTTTAAGTTAATGGATGACAGCGATTTACTGACAAAAGAAAGACGTTAGACGATTTTATTATTGTGTAAAAAGCGTAAAATTTAGTAAAAAGAAGACAACTCACGACTATAATTAATTGCTGAATAATAAATAGTACACAATGGTATAAAATTACAATTACAACAAACTTCTTATGAAATGAGAAATAAAAACAAGTCTTCTTATTAAAAATCGACTGTACTCTCTTCATTAACCTTAAATTACGCTAACGGTTTTAGAGGTACATTGTTCCAATGGATCTTTTTATTTAGTGCAACTTTTTAGCATTAATAAAGCTCTTTTGTTAAGCTAAGTGAAAGACTGTATTCTTTTTGTAATTCTTTCTCGTTAATTTAAGTTGCTACACGCTGTCAAATGTTATGACCTTATGAGCAACCAATAGAAAGATTTGGGAAAAGTTATGTATATTTTGAATGTAAGTAATTATGTGAGCGAAACAAACGCTGTAGATACAATGCTTCGTTTCATTTTTGTAATTGAATATTATCAGTAAGAATTAACACTTTGTGTATTACATTATTACAATAATTCTCTTGCGTAGATTATTTTCATTGATTTCAACTTTAATGTAATTCGGTTTAAACTTATTTGTAAAAAATATTCATTATTATAACATTGAGGAGATCTAGTTAGTGACGAAAGTTCGATGATTGTAATTTTGACTATTTAAATTATATTGGCAGAGGTAAAGTTGGGCCCCTAACAGAACATCAAAAGCAAAAATTTAATAAAATACCTACGAATAAAAACGTTATTCAGTCACATCAGAAATTCATCAAACCATCAACGTGTGAAATAAATTGATTTGTTGCAGTCTGATTCTAGTATGTAAGTATATAACAAAGGCTAAAAAATGATGTCAAATAGTTGACTGAAAGTGCAAAACAGTCAAACTACTGAGTTACAACTAATTACCATACTTGTTACACTGTTAACAGTTTGGGCACTGTTACACGGAAAGAACAATAATCACTCTCTTAAACGACGGCAGTTTAATTAAAAAATTATTAAAAGAAATAAAATCAGAACAAAATCAATTTGTTGTTTGGTTTTTTAGTAGAAAAATAATAGGATACTTCGCTTGTCATAAAATATCGTTTACGTGTTATGTTCATTTTTGCCAGCAAACAAAATTTGTAAAAACAAGCAAAAAAATGGTGATCTCCTTGATCTGACGAACTTGCAAAACTGGTAAAATCTTTGTGTTTAACTTACCAAAACAATGTCATGATTATTCTAAGATTTTTGTTATTTGAGACACGATGGATGTTTGTAACGAAGAATGAAACAAAATATAAATTTTCAAAAGAGAAAAACAAAATGTTTAAAACAAATAATTACAGAATATTTTATTATACCTAGAGAGCAACAAAAATAGGATCAAAGACAGCCACAGATTTTTGAAATTGTAATTCAAACTTTCAAGTTGACGGTAATTTGACGACACGAATATTCAGTCTACTAAAGACAAATCTTAAAAAATTCATGATTGATCGTGTTTTTATTGTTCTCTCTGTCATGTACTATAGTATATAGGTATAATATATTTAGGTATATAAAAAAAGAGAAGATTTTGTTGCTAAATAATGCTCAGTTTTTAATATTGAGTGTCGACAGCAAAAGAGACATAAGTCCAAATGTCTTAAATAAATAACATGCACATACAATATTGGCCAAAATATAAAAAATGTATATAATTGAGCAAAAAAATCTCTTTACGAGACATTTAGAAATAAAAATACTTTGCTACTGTCAATAATAATAATAGAACATACGATTCAGTACTTCAAACAGCCGCCTACATTTCTCTTCATAAGAAAAGGAGGAACAATATTTAGATGTTAAATAAATATAAAACAATTGTCGGTTCAAGGTGGTTACAAAATGAATAACAAAAAGAACCTTCAGTGACAATGAATAGATGGACTTACTTTTGTGAAAAATTGCAAAATTTGTCAAATTCAAAAAATACTCTTTGATAACGTAAGTGCCAGTGATGCTAGTCTATAATAACAAGTTATACATAAGATTTTGTATCAGACTGCATGGCAACAAAATCGCAAATGATAATGTGAAACAGATTTTACGCATAGGTATGTCTTTAAAAAAATATGCCTATATACCTATCTATCGTGAAATTTTGTTCTGAAAATGTAGTTTTAGTGTAAAACCGGGAAATTTTAAAAATAGGTAGGTATATCGTTTACAGTTATTTAAAATGGCAGATACCACTTCTTATTATTGGATAATAATTTAGAGAAAATACTGGATCAATTATTTTCGAACATAAAAGGTAACGGCAAAATCTGATAACGTTCCGACGTAAAACTAAGTGTGTGTAATAATTTACCAAGTAAATGTAATAAATCTGAAGCAAATTAATTAAGGACAAGCATGATGTAGGATAACTTTTTTCAAGTGATGGTCAATTTGCAAAATTATCGAGCGAAGTCGACGACAAAGGCACGAACCTTTTATCGATGGTTCCGTCGATTAATCCAGTGTCTTAACCTCCCATCCTCCCAAATAAAAAACCGAATCGAGTGAACCGCAGACAATGGTGAATATCAATGGGATCCAACAATGAAGGGCGGGTACAGAGCAGTATTAGCATAAATACACGTTACATTGTCCGCTCCGGTGACATTCAATACCACAGGGGTGCGCCTCTTAATACCATACCTGAGCAAAAACAGTTAGATGGCGGCAATAAGGCCAAAAAGAGACAATCCATCAACATGCAGGAAAAGAACTTAACACGCACTAGCGACGCCGCTATTCCCACAGCGCTCTAGATAGCTACCTGTTTTACAGACACCCCGCCGTCTCGCTACTGGTTATAAGATCTGGTGGGGATAATATGAGTTGTTTTATTGGTATACGGTAGCCGTAACAATCGCGGCCGCTACTGGGTACCGCGAGGCCAATTAAACGCCAGATCCGGCGACCAACCAACGAGCGTCACACTTACGACCGGCGCGAACATGCATCACTGTACGATTTTCCCGAAAACATGTTCGAACATGTTAATCCTGCGAATTGCAGCGGCCGACGGGGAATTTTGTGAATGAAATAGCCGAATAGAAAGTAAAACGCTAAAACGGGTCCGGGCCCCACTACCTGGCGCGTAACGCGGTAGCGCAGGCGTAACCCGGTAGCAACGCCTAATAGCACATGTTCCGCAGCAATTAGCGCCCGGTAGCCGCAACAATTAACGAATCGCACAACTACCAACTGCCTATAAATATTAATAATCCGTCTGCAAGCGCCACTCGTCTAAAAATAGCCGCAATCAATATGCGGATTAGCGACTCGAACGCTACGGTAGGCGACGAACCGCATAATCGCAATAAAATCGCGCTAATTAAAGCAAGCTAAAATGGTACTAACCTGGTGCGGCAGGACCATGCAGGCTGGTGCAGCGGGCGCGATGTCTTAAACTTGCCAACGATCTTCAGGAGTAGTTCTAAGTTTTGCTTCTGTACCAAACTAGAGATGGTAGCCCAATGATCCTAGCAGTAGTGTGTAGCTCAGGGCTCCCTCGTGCCCCTCTGCCCCCCTTCTGGAGCTTACTAAGTCCAACCTACCTGTGGACCCCCCTTAAGAGGCCCTGGCATAAGGTTCACCTGACTGGATCCGCTTAAACCAGAAGTCAAACGAGTGCTCGCTGAAAAGCGACTCTATAGCAGAGGCGGTTAAGGCGGCGAGCGGCGGCGACGTTCCCTTGATTAAGTTTTTAAAATGAGTCGATGCGTAATTGTTCGTTTTTGTGATGTGTGTGTGTGTTTTAAGGTGCGAGTTTGAATGGTCGGTGCCTTACTTTTTCGTTGGAATGCTGCGCTGGAATTATACACCAAAATATTCTACCACTGACATTTGCACCAGCAGATTGCACACTTTGCGACGTTATTAATTGTACTCCCACCTAATCAAATATTCTATGTTAAGTCTAGACTTTTTATTGCTACATTAATTTGACTACCGGCAATTTATGCACCAATTTATGGATTATTTGATTACCTAAGTACAAGTAGCTGTTGAAACTTCCAGTGCTAATTTATTATATGCAAGTAAAACCGTCTGGAAAATCCTCCGCATACTGTAACAGTTTCAACATTTATTCTTATTCTTAAATAGGTACCAACGAGCTTACCTTTCAGTTTAATTTATTTGACATGCTATAAACACCGAATACAAATTATATAATACCTCTATAATATATATATAAATTTTGCATGAATTAAATTCTATCACATAAGCTGTAAATTAACTTTAATAGGCAAAATTTTAGTCGGTAGCGCCAAAAACATAATTGGAATAAATTTGTGTGAACGGTTATAACCAAATTGTTTGACAAACCGTAAATTAAAAACTAAATAGGTATATTTCTATACGTAAGTGCCGCTCTGAGATGCGCTTCTTCTTTCATTTTTTATCTCAGAAAACACAAAATATCTTAAAAAAATAATAAATGGATAGGTATAGGATTATCTCCAGGAACCGTACATTTCTCTGAAATTCTGGCAACGCGGTAACGTTATAAATCATTCTACTTTCAGTTCCGAAATAGTCAACGTTGACTTAATGATTTCTGATAGATTTGCTTGAAGACTTCCGGACCTAATAAACCACTTGGAATTTTCGTGGAATACCTAAGTAAATTCATAGAGCCTGAGTTCCTAATTTATCAACGAATGATTTAAAATCAACGTACTTGACATCAAATAAGCAGACGTACGTCGGATATTTTTGCTCAATGAGAAAATATATTGTTAACGAATTTAATTTTTGTTTGCATGTACCCCTGTTGACAAAATCTTTATTTCCTTCAATTAAAAAACTACTCAAGGCGAACATAACTCTACGCGATCCTTCCAATCTGATGAATCTTGTAAACTGTTTTTTGCTATAAGTGGCAGGTGCTATGTAAATCTCCCAGAAGCCATCGGTTTGTCAATATTCGCTATTTTAGAATCTACAGAGTAGTAGGTAGATAGTATAAAAATTTTGTTTGCACCTAAAGGTTGAAAACATCTGAAACAATTATTGAATGAATGTGTAAGTATACGTAGGTACACAAAAATAGGCGGTTATATGTAGGTATACTATTTGTTTTGCATCACAAACGAAAGAATTAGGTAGTTTATATAACTTAACAGTTATGTTCTTTAATGTGGTGGAATATTCTTGACAGAACACTGCAAGGTTGCTAACACAGAACTTTCCTCGCCGCTGAAGCACAACAAATGTCACACTGTCATGTCAAAGCGAATTTTCAAAAGTTTTATTTTAATAATATTTGAAGAACATTAATTTTGAAACGCTTACATAAAATTTGAAGAAAACTGAATCAAATTTTCCCGAGGTAACCGATTAACTAATATCTATCATTGTTTTAGATAACCTAAGCTGCCGGTTCCAATTTACCTGTTTCAGTTTAATACCTGAAAAATTTGAAAAGGCAAAAGTTTGAAATTTAGAACGGTTATTCAACATAAAGACATATAAAATAGATAGACTATTAACATTTTTTTTGAAGCATCAAACAGAATATGTTATTATATTTACCTTTAAATCACGGCATCTCTATTTACTGTTATTATGCCTAATCCACTCTAATATCTAAGATCTTTGTAAAAATAATTCCGAAATTTAGAACAAGTAACTAGTAAAAATTTTTTTTTGGAAATGACATCAATTTTTCTATTTCAAGCGGAACAGGATATGTTTTTTAAATGTTTTACATTTTTGTTATCAATCAGTAATTTAACATTTTTATTACCTACAGGCTGCTCGGAGTGTCGCGAACACACGCGAGTACATTATGAACGAATCTAATAAAAAAAATATTTTAGATGTAGGTACCTACTCGTAGATTAAAAGTTTTAAGGCATATTTTTATAAAAATAAATTTGGTAAATCTGCGTGTACCTAATGGTGAAAAAATTTTATTTTTTAAGACGATAACCATATAGGTACATATAGCCACGCTTATATATATTTTTAACTATATATTAGGTACCTAAACCTTGTTGCCAAATGAAATTTTATCAATTTTTTTTATAAAAACAAGATATTCATAGACAACATTGTCTGTTATAAGGGAAATGGTATTTAAATATTACCATGATGAGGAAAACAAAAATCATTGTCACAAATAACACCCTCACAGCCTGTTTGTGTTTACGCATCGAAAAAATGTGATATTTAAGCATGTAGCTACTAAAATTATTAATTAAGCTACAATGGAACAAAACACTCTGAATATTAGACATTAAAATCCTTATTTTATTATTATTAAATTTAGACGGGCGCAACATTAAGTACTCTATTCCCAAATGTTCTAGAAATCGTTCTTGATTTGATCAATAAAAAAACCCATGAGTAAATCCAGCTAGCTAATAATTCCACATTTTGATGGCACCACTACCTAGTTTCCCAAACGTCGGTGCTCCTACCTGTATACCTACTGCTATAAAATGTAATGACGTAATGTGATTTTTTCTGTAAAAATCTGGATGCTTGGTGTAAAAAATTAAAGCGGATTCATAGACCACAAGTATAGAAATATGTTATTTTATAAAAATTAAATGGTGTTTAATAAAAAAAAAATTAATTTGAGGGAAGTCATCACATTGTTGCTAGCCAAATTTTGACGACAGACAGACAGGCGGAATCGAGTGATCTATAGTTTCGTAGTCTCAGGTTATGAAACTTCGAGAAAACATGAAAGTAGCCAGTCGCCCGATAAAATAAAAAATATTCTATTTTGTTTGAAAAACAACGTTGTCGTTTCCGAAAAACTTAAAGATGATATGATGCTAAGCTATTCATATATTGATTTTGTACATTTCTTTGTTAATTAACCGTTCGTTTATTGTTTCAAATAATTAAAATGTATAGGGTAAATGTGTACAAGTCACTTAGTGTAAAATTGTCAACAACTTTTCAATTTTTTTGGATAGACAAATTTTATTATATGGGTTCGTCATATACATGTTTAGAGATTAGATATATTCAATTGTACGTCCCAAGACCACTATATTTTAAGAGTACCTAATTTCAACTTTTGTCAAGATGTGTAAATGCGCAGTCTTAGACAGTTCATTGCACAAGAGTGCGCATTTGAACGCTTAGGAGTCCGCATTACATTTTATGAAAAAATCTTTGTTTCTAAGGTAAAAATAAATGGGAATAAGTGACTACAGACTACACATAAAACGGGAGAACTATTTCTCCGTACGCTAGGGGTCTTGAAAAGTCGAGAAAACGTACATGTAGAGAGTCGGTCGACGGACTCGATTACAACACGCTCAGGAAGTAAAGATTAAAAAAAAAAAACGCCATAACCACCACCACAAATCTTGAGAAGCAGTACAAAGTAGTAGAGTTAAATAATTCATTATCGTATGATATGTATCTCAAGACTATTAGACTACGTATCGCAAGCAATGCGCTTATACAATACCTCGCTGTGCACTCTTGTACATTTGTACATAACCTAATGTTTTCAAAGTTAAAAGCTTTTAATGGAGAGAAAGTGTAAAACTGTTAGCGTATAACGACACCTTAAAAGTTACAGCTAATGAAAATTATTACTGTAAAATAAAAGAATTGGTACGTACCTTACAAAAAACTAAAACTCTGAGCGATAAAAATTACATCCACACAACGTGTAAACATAAAATCGTCAGTACGACCAAACTGTAAACTATATACAGGTCACTTTTGCACCATTATCTCAGGTTTAGCATTAGATTCTGAATGCTATAACTTCATCTTACCCAGATGGCACTAATAAGCAGAAATCATCAGTGCGTACTCTTATACATATTCGCACTCTTGTACACATTTACCCTAGTGAAATCTGTAGACTGGGACACCGATATAGTCAATTTTTGACTTTTTGAATTAGTACTCACAATAATACTTATATGTATTAATAATTTCGGAGGCTTCCACGGTCGGAATCAATACATGATCGTTTTCCGGGTTGGAACTGTGTAAATTGAGTTTTTGAGCTCAACGTTTCGCACACTTTCGTAAGTGGCATCTTCAAGAGCAGGGTTAAGAATAAGGCAAAAGAGCACGGTAACTCAATATGTCAACCATACTGTGCGAAACGCTGAGCCCAAAAACTCAATTAACACGGTTCCAACCCGGAAAACGATCATATAATATACGTATTAATTTCGCTTCGTTATATTTATCGTTAACATTAATCTCACTGTCTTTGCAGAAAATTAATTAAAACAATGATTGTTAAGCATTTTATGTCTATTTCCGTCAGAGTACACAGAGTACATGTTGATTTTAATAAATATTTTATTCTAGCAAATAATTCCCTGTTATAAGAACAAAATTGAAAAATAACATGAATTTAAGACCTTAAAAATAGCATTTTGTTATATTCGTCTCAAAAATTCTGAAGGAAAATCAGATAATCCAGGTGCCTATAAATATTTTTCATTTGACATGACAATAACGACTTTGATATATCTTCGGTAATGTAAAGCATTTTCCTCAATTGATTACACTTCAAAAGTCTTATAACAAAAAAATATAAGTTTTAACTTTTATGTAAGATCTACGCACATAAATTGATCCTCATGCTGTAACGTAAATTCGGTTAAAACAAAATTCAAATCAGTGCTTGTTAAAATTAAACTCTATGCAGAGAACGGATTAAGGCAATAAGAGGGCGTACAAGTTTTTAAAATTAGCCGGTATGTATATTATTGATTTTTATAATTGTGTGTATTTAAAGGCAGAGAACCAAATAGTTGAAACTTCTCTGATTTAAATATTCGTAAGGATGCACGATATTTGTATC